GGACAGTACAAAGTATATTATGCCAGAAAAATTTTCCACCATCGTCCTGGAGTCATGCATTGGGAAAAGCTGGTCAGGCATCTCGCCTGCTGCTCAGCATCTCATACGAGCCTAAGCAAGAAAGTGAGGAATAACTTACTTATTTGGTACTAGAAGGAGAATTAGCGGTGGCAAAATGTACACAGGCATGTTGGATTGCTCAGGATATCACAGTTAAACACCGGGAAAACAACCCCAAATGATTGCTCCTCATTGCTTGCTTCTTAATTCATTTTTTATTCCCCATGTAATGTCCTTGTCCACAGTTTCATGAGGGCACCAGTGTCAGCCAGTATGAGGGTCCGTTCCTAAAATAAGAAGGAATACATGTGTTTATCCCTATGAATAGCACTTGGACCACTTCCCACACCACACATCTCAGGTCTTTGAGTATTTACTGAGTTCTTTGCTCTAATCTCACTACAAAATTGTTTGTAAAACTAACCCCAGTGCCTCTTGTGTTGCAGGTTGTATACACTGACTATGCAAATGGGTTATTTAGCCTTTAGTATCACCCCTAATATGTAACAGGAGCTTGCAGGGGCTTGCTTTCTCTGCCTGGTGAGGAGAAGGCATTCCTGGTATTCCTTTTGTGCTCTCCTGATGGCTTCTAGAAATGACTTCTAGCAATATCTTTCTTTTGTACATCCATCTGTGTTTTTCGTATCTGGATCCCATTCTTTTTAAGGCAAGACTGGGAATAGGAGGTTAAGGGAAAATCTGTTGCTGATGTGATAAGGTTGCTAAATAATTCTGAAAAGCTTTTATTTGGTGAAACTGCGAGAAAATGATGACATCTAATAGCTGCCTGAAGCTCCCCCAGGACAATGCAGGATTTTTTCACATTGAAGACAGAGGGGTTATTTTTGTATTTCTGCATATCTAAAGAAAAGCAGCAGAACCTCTGATAGCGAGGTCATTTTTTTCACACAGAAATGTCCCAGCAGATGGAAATGAAGTCGGTGGGATTTTGATTTTGTAAGAATTAAATAAAAACTTATTATGGACTTTGGAAGGTGGCCCAGTTGCTGGAAGTCCAGCAAGATTTCCTCCAGCCATAAACTGCATGATAGGCTAATTTACCAGAGCTTTCCCATCCCTTACTTCAAAGCCAGTAACGTTAAAACATTAAAGTAAGTAACATTAAAACTTCTGTGTCTTCCTAAACTCTGATTTGAAGGGAAGGGTCATCAACACCACCTATATTTTGGCTCCCAACCCCTCCCTGTGCCAGGATGCCCTGGTGTTCCCCTCCCACATGCCACCTCCTCTGTCCTAAGGAGCTTCCTCCCTTCTCACATGCTTCCTGGTGTAGGCCCTCAATGGTTTGCCTCCTGGAGGAACATCCTTGGGTACCCCTATGCAGGAGGTTCATCCCCATCCCTGGCCGAGCCAGGACCAGCCCTTGCCCTGCATTCAGCCTAGTCTCAGGCAGGGGGCTGGTTTGGAGGGACGTCCCTGCCCATGACCTGTAGTGGAGACTAGCACTTCTCAAGCTCTCACCAGCAAGGGAAAAGCAGTGCCAAAAGAGTCTGTTTTCTGCCCTGTGCCCAGCTTCCAGTAGCTCTGGTGTTGTCCTGCGTGGCGCTGACTCCTCGTACAGCCCTTCCACCATGCACCCCTGCGATGGGCTGTGGTGATCTCCCAGACACAGAGGTAGATACCCCAGCCATGTGTAGATACTCAGGCCATGCAGAGGAGCAGGGGAAGAGCTGGTTGTGTGTAGGAAAGGGATTGAAAGTCTCTGGAGAGGCTGGGGCTCTTGCTGGGGTTCATGTCTCTCTGCTCCCCGCTTTGCAGGGTTATAGCCCTCCAGCTCTGTGCTGCTCAGCAGTTTGCTCCTTTTGCTGCCATGAGCATGTATAAATCACAGCAGCCCTAACTTGTGCTCTTGTACCTTTGCCAAGGTAATTAGAACAGTGCACATTTTAAGAGAGTTATTTCTCTCTCTGGAGCAGCCTGCCAGCACCTCGGCATGCACAGCGCTGTCTGCTCGCCCTAAAATGTTTTATCAGAGCAGTTTGGTTTTGTTTAAGCAAAGTGCTGAGGAAGGCAAGAAATTAATGAAGGGCTGTCAGGCTTCTTATATGGAGCCCAATGTGTCCCCCAGGGAAGAGGGACAGAGCGATGGCTCCGAGTGCCTTTGGAGGAGCAGTTTTACTCCAGCCTGGACATCTCTACCCCAGTGGCCATCCTAACAGTTGCAGTGCTGGTGCTGTCAACTCCAGCCTTTCCAAACCCCTCAGTAAAGCACCCAAAATCTTGAGGGTTGTGACAAAAGAGGAGGAAGGTGAAAATCAGTTTGTGTGCATCCCCCCACAAGACTGTGGAATATAAGCACTGATATTTATTACGTTAAAGCAAGTTACATAAATGTTCTTCATAGATACCTGTAGAGCTGGATCCCGGTTGTGGATCCAGTTTCTGCATTAGGGTACCAGATGTTTTTCCTTCATTATCCAGGTGCGTAGTGGCTTTTTGGCATTTGCTTAAATACACCATTTTTAATGGCCCTTCTCATACGCCACTTCCACCACTGGGTTTCACATAGGAGTTGCTGTATCGAGCCCCATACACAAGCGTGTGGCCATTAAGTAGGTATGCAATCCTGCTCTGAATGTAAATGCTTGTCTGGCATGAGGTTATCTTACTTGCTTTTGATAATGGCAGTCATCCAGTAGGACACAAATGAGGACTGGCTCATCTGCTTTGCAAGATAGAGAGAGAGATTTCTGATTCAGTTGAACAACAGTGGATTCATTATAATTCTGCAAATTTCAGTAGAGTTCTTCCAGGTCAATATGGGTCTGACGCAGATCAACATCTCACTCAGCATTTAAATTATTTATCAAGCACACTGGCTCCTCAGAGCTAATGAAACATTGCTCCTTTCACCCTCAAGTGTTGAGTTGGTTCAAATAACCTCCAGGGCAGCCGGCTGGTTTTGGGTTATAAATAACTTGAGTATTTCATTTCTTAAAGTTCTCCCCCCCCCCCTTGCTCTGTTGTTGCTACAGTGTAGAGTTTCAGCTAGATCTTCAGTCTGTTTACAATGGCTGTCTCTCTCCAATTAAATGCTTTATTGAGGTTGATTGACTCAGGGTTTAAGAAAACTGTAGGAAAAAGGTCATTTCAGTATCAGTGAAGTGTGTGAAAGAATAATTTACACCACAGACTAGAGATAAGAGAAAAAAAATGTGTCATCTCTATACGAGACATTAGAGGCAGAAAGGCCTGTTTAACGGTGAGCAAAGTTCTCCCCCCCCTTGCTCTGTTGTTGCTACAGTGTAGAGTTTCAGCTAGATCTTCAGTCTGTTTACAATGGCTGTCTCTCTCCAATTAAATGCTTTATTGAGGTTGATTGACTCAGGGTTTAAGAAAACTGTAGGAAAAAGGTCATTTCAGTATCAGTGAAGTGTGTGAAAGAATAATTTACACCACAGACTAGAGATAAGAGAAAAAAAATGTGTCATCTCTATACGAGACATTAGAGGCAGAAAGGCCTGTTTAACGGTGAGCAGGATGGGTTTGCTAAAACCTTGGACGAGCCTCAGAGGTAAATCTGGCACTTTGCAACATTGCTATTAAAACTTGAAGAAGGGGTATCTTTGCTGGCATGTCTGCACAGAGAGGGACAGACTACTGCATGCAGCATTGACTGACGTGAGGGATCTCTGACACACGAGTTTTTACCACTGCATTTGCTAAACACAGTGCTGGAGATGTGGTTTTCCCACGTCTGCAGGGCTGGACGAGCCCTGCCTCGGCAGAGTGACTATCCTGCTGTCTGCAGCACTGGGACGGTGCACCCTGAGTGTTTTAGCTCAAACTAGGCAAATAATGCTCAATGTTCTCCTTGTCCTGGGGCTAGGTTTTCTGAGAAGTCTGATTATAAATGCTGAAAAACAGGACGGGACTGTCGTTAGCCTTAGGCAAGGTAGGCAATTTGATGTGGGCAGCAAAATCACTTGCAGAAGTGAGAAAGGGAGAGGATCTCCGTGTGTCTCTGCAGCAGTGACAGGTCCATATGCAGCCCACGCAGGCTCTGCTGCAGAGGTGGAACGACTCTCAGACATCCTCCTTGCAGGGACGTGGGGACGCAGAGCCCAGCACAAGCTACAGACACATCCTGCCCTCTGTCTGGTAGTGCTGCGGGGCTCCTTGTCCTGCTTTGCACCAGCTCTTCCTCCCCGTTGTGCTGGAGAAGAGGTCCATGCAGGTGGCCAGTGGCTCTCCAGATGTACAACAAACTTTCCTATAGAGCTATGATCTCTTGCACAATATAGAGACCATAGGTTGTGCTCAAAGCCTGTCCTGATGCCGTGCAGGTGACTGGGTAGGTGTCGTCACTTCTTGTGTGTCCTCAGTTCCCAGGGCTCTGCTGTGCCCACATGTCTACAGAGCCACTGCAATGCCTCTCCACCATCCAGGAGAGAGTAAAGCCAGTGTAAGTGGCTTGTGTAAGGTGTTGGGTGAGAACAGTCCAGAAGGACAACCCGACCAGTGAAGCCAGTATGGAGAAGACTCTTGGATGGGGAATGGCTGTGCTGAGGGATGAGAGGGACTGGTGCTGTGTGGATGTAGGGTGTAGCCCATGAAAACTCCTCTTACCACATGTATAGGAGAGGATGGAAGGGCTCATGGCTGTGTAATAAAACTATTCCTCTGGCTAAACACCCAAAAGCATGCAGAGGGAGGCCACGATATCTGCATGAGTCAGTGTAGGATCAACAGCACTGGGTTTCCATGCAGAATTCCTCTTTGTCCAGGATGGTGCCAATCTCCAGAAGTGGGTTTACATGTCCCTGAACAAACTTCTCTTGTGCTAGTGCTTGCCTGCTTGAAAACTTATTGGGACAAGTCTTAAACAAGAGTTTCTCCTTCTTCTCCCTCCCTCTTTCTCACCTTCTTCGCCGAGATGGGTCCGAGAGTCACATGTCTCTTTTCTTGTTCTCCATTAGGCTCTGTGGGTATCCCCCTTTCTATGATGAAAATGACTCCAAACTCTTTGAGCAGATCCTTAAGGCGGAGTATGAGTTTGACTCTCCATATTGGGATGACATCTCCGAGTCTGGTAAGAAGCTACTGCTCATTTAATTGCAACAACCATGCATGCATGCTTGCCTGTTGCAGAGCTCCTCCTCTGGGCGTGAGAACGCACCCTCCATCATGTGTGGAGCTCATTTTAACTGAAAATCATTGGGAATGTTAATTTCTTTTAGCTCAAATAGTTATGGGAGGTTATTTCTGCAGGAAAGCAAATTAAATACCATTTTGTCCAGTTACACACAAAGCACTAAAACGTAGCTGGAACAGAAGATGAAGATAGCAGAAGACTGTCCCAAGAAGACAAAGCAATTTAACTTCTCCATTATATCCAAATAAAATGCAGATGGTTTATGTGTCACTACTAATAATAAGGCAACCTAGTTTGACTCTGTTACTAGAACTGTACTGCAGGTCTGAAGTGAGTCTGCAGTGTATACACCAAAGACAAACCCAAGAAATTAATGGCTTCCAAATGAGGCGGGTAAGCAGATTCAGAAACTGGGAGTACTGCCCGTGTGGTCGGATCCAGATAGCTGCCCATATGCTTGCCCAGATCCCCACCTAGTGCAGAAGACATTTAACGCATAGCGCCTGCCTGTGCCTGCTCTAGTCAGTCTGGAGGAGAGGCAGATAGATATACTACCCTGTTACAGGCAAATGTGCCTAAAGGCTTCTGGCTCCAGCATGGCTCATGGTCTGCCAGCATCAGTGTCTATAGGTGACAGCGGGGCCATGTTCAGCCTTGCACCCTGCGTGTGCCACTGACATGCTGTGTGGTCTCCAAGAGGTCACGCAAGCTCGGTGTCCTTGCTCTGTCCAACCCGTGGGAACATCTGCCATTTCACACAGGAGAAGACATTAATTCTAGGAACATTTTATCAGACAAAAATATCCCTAGAAATGCAGTTTTCTTATTCATTAGTACTACTGATTAAGGCAGGGGAGATATAAAAAGAAGTGTTTTATTTTAAAGATGATTATATATCCTGTTATCTCTGCATAGAACAACATTTCATGCTGCTTACATCTGTGGTCCAGATATCATTGTGATGGATTGCTTAAAAATATATGTGATGAGAAGTTTTTTTAAGCCCATTAGGGTTTTCTGAGAAAATGTGGAGGTCTGCTGGCAGACCCCTTTGCATTTTGGGGGCAAAGTCCATCACCTAAAACAGACAAAGATTTTCCTGCCATATTTGGCTTTGCTGTGGCTCCTTCAACTACTCTCTGCTGAAACTACTGGATGCACACCATGCTGTGATCTCCTTTCCCTCTATTATAGTGTCGATTAAAAACACACTACTTTATGCCCAAGGGAGCCCATTTTCCTCAGTAACTTGTTTTTAAATATGCAGCATGTCCTCACAACTGCCCATGTGTGCGATTGCTTGGAGTGAGCAATGGGAAGCTCCTCTTACTGTGGCATCTGACCTCCTCCTTGCCTTTCCCACTCAGTTTATCAGCATCTCCAACAGATGTGGCCATATGCAGACGGCTAAGATGGTCAGAGGCACTTGGGTGACCAGGGAGCTGGGAGCTGGCAGGCTTGAACTCTGCTGACTCTGAATTATTCATCCCACTCCTAAATATACCTGCAGGAGTAGACACCTTCAGCTTTTACCTGCCATATTAAATAGCTTGGATTTGGTCTTAAGTCACTTTGGTTATACCTATACTAATAAATGACAAATGACCCAGGGCCATTTTCTAGCACTGTGGCCAGATGGCACTTGGTAGCCTAGTCAATGCTGTTGGCTGATCATCCTGCAGCAGAACTGGACATCAACCCTATTGCTTTAAATTATTCTCTCTTTTTTTTACAGCTAAAGACTTCATTCGGAATTTGATGGAGAAGGACCCTAATAAAAGATACACCTGTGAGCAAGCAGCACGGCACCCTTGGTAAGCAACAGTCCCGGCTGTGTGAAACCCTCAGGACAGACAGCATCATTTTACATTCATGAGTGGAAGTGGTTTTTCTGTCCCATAGTATACTAACCTCTACTAAATAACTCTGTGCTCTTATTCTTACAACTCCTGCCTTTGTCCTCCAGATTTTCCTGGAAAATCATGATGGACTTTAATCTCATGCACCAACCTGTTGAGTATCTGTATAAGGATTCAGTGAAATGCTGAATTATTTATGTTGACTGTACTGCAGCAGTGGGATATGCCAAAATGATTGAACCCAGAAATCATATTTTGGGGCAAAAGGTCAAATTCTGCAGGTGTGCAGAAAGCTGGGTATCAACCTGCTCATGAGGTCCTTGCCAAAGTAGTATCAGAGCACTTTAGAGCATCCCATGAAGTAGGAAGTCCTCATCTGTGCTTCACGGATGATAATCCACCTCCTACTTGCAGTAAGGACCTGGTTTCACATGCTGTTTACCCTCTCTTGTTGAATGGAAGAGATAGGAAACCCTGGAGAGGGATTGGATCATCTCAGTCTGAATTGGCTATAGCAATGCTATCTCTCTGCAGCGACTACAGAAAAGTACCTGGTCTGACTGTATTCATAATTTAGACGTCTGTTAAGTGTTTTAAGTTAGATGATACCTTTGCACATGGCTGACTTCACCAACGTTACCCAAGTATTATGTAGCTGAAACAAGAGTGGCTCGTGTACTTTTGACCAAGCCTGAGTGACTGAGCATCACCTCACACTACCAGCTGCACCCAAAGATGGGCTTTGGATGTAAGTCTTTCAGGGCAGGGATCATTATATATGAAGCGCGATATTATTTTCATTGTTATAATAGCTGCAACAGAAAGGAGTCAATGGCATGACATTTTCACCCCAGGTGTGTATTAGACTGTGTTTTTATGCTATCACAATTACCACAAATACCATTTCCTTTTGCAGTTTCTAGAGCACTGGCTGGATAAAAGCATTAAGCTGTGCATTTGCAGGGGAACCAAAGTTTTTTCTGAGCATCCATAGCCCCTCAGAAAAGCAACTGGGCCAGTGTCATAACTAGCTCAACAGCTTGATGGACCGCAAAACCATCCTGGCGATGCAATTTGAGCCCAGGGATCAACCTCGAGTAGTGTAGTTGAGTATAAAACGCATGGTAAGAAAAGCATGGGCATAGAAGTTGTCAGTGAGTTTTAAGGTAGCGCTGCTTTCTGCTGGGAGTTGGAGACATTCATTCAGAGGATGGAGTCTGCATCCCTCTGAGACTGGGGAGCTTTATCAGCGGGGCTCTGGTCACCTCTGCTTCCTCAGCAGACACGGGTTTTGGACACGTTCCTTGGCCTTTCTAGCTCTGAAGGGACAGAACTTGGTACCCAGCTTAAAATCGTGTTATATTTCAAAGCAGAGTAAAAGTTAATGGCTATAGCTCTAGAACAAATACTTCAGTTTGGCTTCAAGGGGTTTATGCTTCTCTCTGTGACACTCACTGGTTTGTCTCATGTCATTGCTGCTTTCAGTCCTGGGACTAGATGGAAAGTAAATCCTTTCAAAGGTTTTTACCATTCTGGCTTGCTTGCTGATAAAGTTTTACCAATACACAGGCTGATGACTTACTCCCCTCATTAATTAATGATTTGGCACTCATGAAGGTGTTCAGTAACTTATTACTGAATAATAACTTGTGTGAGACTACACAAGTGCTAGAAATACAGTGAAATGGCACTGATTTCTCCGTAGTGGGAATGATGTACCAATGTCTGACTGCAGATTGTCAGTCGCTGTGATTACAAATCAGGCTGAAGATAAGAGTGAGGCTCAGCCTTTACAATTAAAAAGTTTTACGAAAGGCTTGGGATGCAGAAGGCAATGTAAATCATTGAGAAAAACAAGGTTCTTGCTTTTCATCCTCCATACCAATGACAATGAGAAACATTTTACAGATGGTTATTAGCTGCATCAGTAGCTGGCATCCATACAAATGAGAGATGACGAGAAGTCACGACCTGGGCCTGCCCTTTTTCCAGTGTCCCATCAATAACTGAGTTGTCTGTGTGACAAAAAGGAAATTTGGGAAATGAAATCCAGCTTCCGTGAGATGAAAAAAAAAAAAAAATGCATTTCTAAATGATACTGACCTGACCCTCAGGAAATTAAACAAGTTACAAAAGTCAGTGTTAGAAATACAGAATAAACAATGGGAATGCAACTCCCAGCAGAGAATGAGGTGACCATTTGTATAACTCAGAGTCAGATTTTCCAAAGCCTTATATCCAAGATACACAAAACGTAAGCATCCAGCTCTTGGCCCCTCTACATCTGTGTTGGTTGCTGGAGTGCAACAAAGAAACGTGGCACTTGTAAGTCTCACAGCTTCTGAGCCCTCCTAAAGGAACAAGATGATAAAAAGTGTTTTCATTCCTTTTTTTTTCTCTTTTTTCTTTTGCATGTCATGGCCAGGGGCCAATGGAAACTCACAGACTGCTCCATAGTTTTTTATATTTTCTACAGAATCCAATCCTCCATTTAAAAACAACCCCCCAAAAAAAGTTTTCCCCTATTTCTGTTGCAGGGGGTCTTCTTCTGCCAGGCTGACTTTGCAAGGCAGTGGTTCATTTGCAGGGCTACCTCCCAACCATGTAAAGCATGGCTCAGGGTCAGCCTTCGAGATGTCAGACATGCAAATGGCACCGCAGTAGGGAGGGTTAAAACATTCACCATGTTTCCATACCCCATCCCAAATCCACCTCCCCTCGACATAGAGACAATATGTACCAGTGGATTAAAGAGCAGGACAGTTGTACAGTGAAACCAAAGATATGGCTTCAGTTCTGCCTCTGTCCTCCCCAGTGAGCTCTTGAGCAAAACTCAGTATCTCATTCCTCCTTGCCCTGAAAAGCTTCCTGTAACATAAATGTTGCAGTTATGGACCTCTCTGGAGAGTGGTGCAGTGATTTTTTGGAGGGTTTGGATCCTGTAGTGGTAAATGCTACTAAAATGCCTTTTTCAATAATCAAGACTACTCACCCGGGTATTATCTGTTATTTCAGAGTTAGTCCTAGGATCTCCTTTTGCCAAGCCATTGCTCAAAGAAGCATTTTCCACCCACGTTGCTTACGCCAGGAAATAATGAGGTTTTTACTGCTTCTTTTCTCATTCTATCCATTATATCTGTTGCAATGGCATCCTCCCCTCCCCTTTGAAGGAGGGGAAGGCCTTTTCAGTGGAGGAGGAGGAGAGCTCTGTGCTTCCTCTCAATGGTCAGCTGTGTCCTTCTCTCAGCCTGGGCATATTTAAGTTTTCACAAGTCCAGGCTTGAGTTCCTCTCTCTCATGGTTGCATTCAGTGTGGCAACAGTCGGAGATAAGGGTGCAAGTGTTTAGCCAACAGAGAGAGGCTACCGTGACTTTTATAATGGGGCATCCTGTACCACCTTTTCACATGAGCATGCATTTTTCAGCATATGTCCCCATTAGCAACATCACCTTCCATAGGGCCCACATAGCGTTGTCTTCTTTGTGTGTGATCAAGAGTAATGAGGTACGTAAGACTACTGGCTTAATGGGAAGAGATGGTCAGAGCAGACTTCAAGTGGTCCCATAAATGATACACTCTTGCAGAGTGCTTATACTTCAAGTAGCCCTTAATGGCATCTCATAAAAGGTTTTTTTTTTGTCTGCACAACTGGTTCTGTAGAGCAACGTAACTGGAGAAGCATCTTTGAACCCTAGAGTTCGCATGAAGTGAAATCCTGATTCCACTGAGGTTAATGGGAGTTTTGCCGCTCACTTCAGTGAGAGTTGGGGTTTGTCTCCTTGTCTTACCAGTGGAACACAGAACATCTACCCAAGTCACTGCTGCTGTGCAAATGGTAGATAATTAATATATACAATGAAGTGGCTCCATGTAGTGACATTTTCCAGCTTCCCCTTTTTCTTCCTCCTGTGAAATCTGCCCCTGCAGAATCAGATCATTGGGATCAGACACAAATTAGGAAGAAATCTATCAAATCATGAGTACTTACGCATACGTTATAATCTGATTGTGATAAAAGTAGTTAACTGTGCGTGAGATGGCTACCTGGCCATGAGATTTTGTTGTTTCAATATATAACATTTGTGAAGAACAAACTGATTCCAAAATATACCTCTTATTTTAATTACCATGTTTTTATTAAAAACTTCCAAACAAGGCTTGCAAGAACTGGATCTTGCAAGATATTACATTTGTGCCTTTAAGGTTAATAATCTCTTTGAATTTCGGGAAACTGCTCTAGAATAGCCGGCTATTCACATGACTAAATGTTTGTACAGGATCAGACCCTAAAAAAAGTAAATACTTCTTCCCAATGGCCCACTTTTCTGTGCTGTATCTGCTCCCCACATGCCTGCATTTACGTGATGTTTTGCTATTTATAATCAAATGGCCTTGGCAGGGGGACGGTATGTTAAACTCGGAGTTGGCAGAAAAGGAGGCTAATAATTGCAGTGAAGTATGGTAGCAGAAACAGTACAATATGTAAGACTTGTTGGTATAATGATTACACCCCAGCCTGTACAATCTGTCCATTTATACAGATTTCTCCAGTTTAATATACAGGTGACATGCTTGCCATTGGAAAAGTTATTTATTTGTTTTATAGCATGTCTTTCACTGAGGTTTGCACTGTTTATGGTGTGTTGCAAAGGGGCAATGTTCTGCTTAGTTGTTCCACTGTGACTTTTCGAAAAGGACGTGGAAAATGAAGGTAACAGAAGAGTGGGGTAATTTTGCTGCAGCTTGATACATTTTAATGTTTCCCTAGCTCACATTAATGACAGCAATTAAGTTTATTAAATATATTGCCATGTCAGAGCCCACATCCTGTTTAGGGCAGTCACTCAGGCTGCAGTGATTAAGGACGAGCAGCAGAAACCTGAGAACCTGTTTTTCCCAGGTGTAGGATCACACTGTGCTCCCCGTCAGATCAAGCTGGGTCCTGCAGCCCCAA